AGCGAAGGAAGCTTTAATTAAATTATTCTTAGCTCTTTTTTTGTACAGTAGGTAGGATATTATTGACAACAGAATGTAAAGACTGCTTCAGACTGTAGCTTTTTGTTCTTTGAGGAGTGTCCCCGGGGGTGCTCCACTTCAGGTGTCTTGGCGCCCTGAGCTTCTAATCAGAGATTTGTAATAGCAGTGCCTCGGTTGGCCACACATGCACTGCAGCCATCTCGCACCGCTCCGAGCGGTTACACCACGTGCACAGCCAACCGTCCCCCAGTTCCTTCTCTACCGCCTTTGGCTTCGGTCGGAACGACAGCAGAGCCCTCCTTGCTTTAGTTCTTTCCCAGCTAGTACCCGGCCAACCGGGGCACTGCTACTACACATCTCCAATTAGAAGTGCAGGGCGCCAAGACACCTACCGTGGAGCACCCCCAGGGACAACCATCTCGAAGAACCTCAGTTACTGCACAAGGTGAGTAACCTTCTCATGTCCTTAGTATGCAGATATAAAAGGGCTCTAAATTTGAAGTTCTGTTTTGTGTTTATTTTTGAGGCACAGGATTTGCAGTCATTAACATTTTTTTCTGTATTCAGATCATTTCACTATTTTAGCTTCATTATAGGAGCTTTTTGATAAATTCTGGAGTATTTTAGCCTTTTCCATTATTCTACTCTTCTTTTCCTTCATCCTATTTCACATACGCAGACTGATTTCTGTTATGCTTTTCAACTTTTTTCCTGGAGATTTTCTGCTTCAAATGCTCATCAGAGCTAATGCTGAGAATTGTACTTGTGAGGTAAACTATATTTTAAAGATGAATGGAGAAAAAAGGGTTTTGAAACCTATTCCTTTTATACAGACCCCACAACATTTTGAAGATTATCAGTAAACAGTCCTATGAAATTAAAAATAAGAGAGCCATTTCCACTTAATAGGGAAAAATTTGGATGTCCGTGTTCCTTCATCCCCCGCACCCTGCCACCAATCCATTTTCATCCTAAGACATTTTAACCATAAAATGTTCATGTGGCTTATAATTTTGGAAATTAAATTATATCTTGGATGGATACATCCGAAACTAACAAGAACAAACAACCACCATAGAAGCGCCCACCAATTTGGAAATTGTTGGGTAAGCAAAATCCCTGGGATCGTTGAGTACCCTGGACTTGGCCTCAAAACACTGTCATCTTCTGGGCTATCTGAAATTCAGTCCGCTGCTTTGGCCTTCCTGCTTCAAACAAACCTTGTGTCTTTTTAATAGGCTTTTACTAAGTTGTTATCAAAGAATAATATTTGTTTTAAAAAATCCCTATTAGTCCTGTGCCAAATGACTTGTAGTAACTTCAGATTTTCTTTCAGTGCTGAAAACCCAAATATAGCTGTAGGGAGAGGAAAGAACTTGGGTCAAATTATAGTTTTACTATGGAATGTGGTGGTGGGAAAAAGAACCATATGATGGAAACACAGCTTTTCCCTGTGCAAGCAAAGTTTTATGCTTCTGTGTACTTTAGAAGGAAGTAAGAGCCAAAAAAGAATAAAGTATAAAGACATCACGTTGCAGGAAGGTATGACTGCTACCTTCCTTTTCCTGGAAATTAGATATTTAGGGTCTGCTGCCTAGAAAAGCCAACCTATCATCAAAACGTGCATTTACAGTCAGGATCTCGCTAAATCCTTCATGTTAGCAGTAGATCTGTGCAACAACTGCAACCAAATAAGAAGCCGTACAAAACTCACCCACTTGTTATTTGGTTTTGCTAACAGATCTAAATTTAGAGATGAGGTTTGTCGAAAACTCCATGAATGCTTGCACATTTTTTGAGGACACCTGGGCTAATTTATGATTTGGATTAAAATTATGCACAATGAGGGCTCTGTGGTTTGAATGTGTTAAGAGGTGAAACTCGACAGATTCAACTGAGTTTTGCTTTGAGTTCTTGGCTTCATTCTAATCTGAAAATACAGACAGGCCAAAATCACAAATTATTCAGTTTTGTGTGTATAGGATGAGGGGTTGGGCAGGATGATAGGGTCTGAATTTAAATTCTAGGATTGGAACACATATATAGATATGAGAGCTTTGATTGTGGGTTGAGTCCAAAATTGGAAGGGGTCTATTTTCAGGTAATGAGTTTGATATGACTGAAATATGGAGAGAATGGCTGCTCTCCTGAGTATTCTCCTGGTGGAAATCTCTTGAAGGAAAAACTCATTTCACAAGATTTCCATCATTCACGAAAGTGGGAATCTCAGGAGCCCAGATGAGATTCTGTGTTTTGGTTCTAACTCTTTAAGAACAGCTTGTGAGATTCCAGCACCAGTTAACCCAAACCTAATCTTATATTTCAGATGAGACTTGGCCTCAGACCCCCAGTTCCAAACTCTTGGCTAAACTGAATCTGACCAATCTCATTGTAAAACTGGGGAGATTCATAACCATGAAAATGAGGTAAATGATTCCTGTGATTCCTGTGAATCCAAACCACCGAGTTTCACACAGCTTTAGTTGCTGGCTGTGTACATTCCAGCCTAACCCACAGCATACATTTTATAACACTGTGTATGTTCTCACATAACTCCTAATGGCCAAGTAGCATAGATACACTGTGCGCTCCTCTCCCAGCCCTAATTTTGCAACCATGCCTGGATCCCTGTGACTCTATTTATGCAACCAGTTCTAAAAGCACCACATGTATTTCCAGGATCCCAGGAAGCATGTAGCTTTTCACATTTGCATTCAAAGAACAAAATCTGGATGCTATACATGGAGGTTTCCAAGAGATTCAGTTATGCAAAGTGTACCTGACAATTCCCTGTACACAGTTTTTTCCCTCCATCCCTGTGTATTATCTTGATATGAAAATTGACAGTGTCAGATACAAGTGTAATAATAATAATTTACCTTTTGTGTAGCACCTTTCATCTCAGGATCTCAAAGCATTTTACAAATGTTAACTATGCCTGAAACACCCTTGTGAGACAGGTATTGCTATTAAACCTATCTTACAGATGGAGAAACCTGAGGGACAGAATGATGAAGATCACACCGTGACTGAGCAGAGCCAAATGTAGATCCCAAGAGTCCCAACTCAGTCCTTATGCTCTAACTATTAGGCCTTGCACCTTCCTCCCTGAAAGGGAACCCAATAGATGTGCTTGAATCTATTTGGGCTTTGATATATGTTCAAAGTAGCTAGGGCAAAGGCACATCTTAGAGTGGTAAATATTGTTAAGAGCTTCCAAAGTTTTTCTGGCTCTCTGATTTTTGGGGTTCTTTTTCAGGGGAATTCAGGTTAGAGAAGGAAGTCCTTATATGGAATTTCCCGTTGTTGTCTCTTGAGTGATGTCTTGCTTCAGAAAGTGGTGTTTGCGCAATTTCCTTAAAGACGACCACAAAGCATACTGTATAATTACTTCCAGGAACAGCAAAGACAGCTCCAGTAATTCACAGACTTTAGTATAAATGTGCCTGGCTTGAAAAGGTGTGAGGTATTTGCTACAGGGAGGAGGAAAGCTGCAAAAAATGTATTTTCAGTGGCCTAGGAATGTTTGAAAGGTGCATGTGGTGGAGACCCTTAGGAAAGTTTCCTACAATGGTTTGGGTTCCCAAGTTATTGTAAAAGCTGAAGCAGAAGAGATTCTTGTACAAGGCTGATACACTCAAAAGGGAATTACACTTTAAAAGAGCTGGTGGAAAACTGCAAAACAGTGGTCACAAACAATCATTTGAATACAGAAGAGCTCTTCATGTTGGTGCCTCTTGTTGCTTGCTATTCACAAATGCACAATTTCTTGGCAAATGGCTACCCTACGTAAGAAGAGGGAACTAGTGCATTAATAAGATTAACTGGTATTCACTCATTATTTGTCTCGCTTTTGTTCAAAGAGTTTCAGCCATGCAGAAATAATAGTTGGTGATGTCCCATCATACCTATGAAAAGTAATTAGCAAATAATTGAAGTCAGCAGTTTGTGACTGATTCTGCAAACATTTACACAGGTGCTTAACTTTATGTCGGTGGGGAGTCCCATTTTGTTCAGTGAGTCTCCTCGTGGAAACAAATGTAAGTGTTTGTGGGATGGGTCTATAATGCATCTTATTCTTAATTAACACTTTAACTAGCTCTAGTCCTGAGCGAGAGTAAAGGAACAACAGAAAAGTCTCCCAGTATCGAACTCCCCCACTTTGTTTAGGTTATGGGCTTCAGAGCTGGCCAGAATATTGTGGGTAATAATTGGCAGATATGGTCAGTGGCTAAGTGAGAAAAATATACAGGTGCTCAGGAAGTGGGAAACTTACAACCATTTATTCTGCATTTCAGTTAACACAAACCCACTGCCTCTGAGGCTACGTCTCCGCTTGGAGCGAGGGGAGTGATTCCCAGCGGGAGCAGACCGATTCCTGCTAGCTCTCTTTGCACTAGTGCACTAAAAGCAGCAGTGTAGCTGCAGTGACCCGGGGAGTAGTGCGCAGCAGCACGGGATAGCCACCCGCAGGGGGTCTGGGCGGGTTTGTACCTGAGGCAGCTAGCCTGTGCTGCCGCGATACCCCAGCTGCGCTGCTATTTTTAGCCCTCTAGCTTGATGAGAGCGAGTGCCAGGATGTCTGTGGGAGCTGGGACTCACACCTCTAGCTCTGAATGGAAACATAGCCACAATCAGCTGATCTAAAGCCCAGTGAAATCAATGGGAGTCTCTCTCTATTGTTGAAACACCTTAAGGAGACGTTTACAACAGACATAAACACACACTTGTATCCAATTCTATAAAGACAGGTTTCAGAGGAACAGCCGTGTTAGTCTGTATTCGCAAAAAGAAAAGGAGGACTTGTGGCACCTTAGAGACTAACCAATTTATTTGAGCATGAGCTTTCGTGAGCTACAGCTCACTTGAAAGCTCATGCTCAAATAAATTGGTTAGTCTCTAAGGTGCCACAAGTACTCCTTTTCTTTTTGCCAATTCTATAAATCAACCCATAAATAAAATATTAAATATAAAACTAGGCTTTGAGTAGTTTTCTGATAGCCTATGTCTCATTCTGCTCACTTTATTCACAGGAATGATCCCTCAAACTCAGTGGTAGGCTGCTCATATTAAAACAGCAGGCAAGATTTGTTCCACTGTATTGCTTTATGCAGGACAACATTGCAATCCGCGGTTATCATGCAAGGTAACAACGTGACAAAGCAAGATGTAACATAAAACAAAAATCCATCAGGTAGAATACCAGCTACCCTGTCTGAGTTTGGGCACATTTATTAAATGGTCAAGTGTTTGATAACAGAGGAGTGGAATGGAATTATTTTTTTGCACATCTTTTGAACAGATTAAATTTACAACAGACTCCCATGTGTGTGGTGGGATTACACAACATTATAGTGAGAGGATGCAATAACTATGTTACAAGGATCTAGGACCTCATCCTGCAAAGACCTGTGCACCATGCAAGATGAATAGTTTCACTGAAGTCAACAGGGCTACTCACAGTGGATAAAGTTAAGCATGTGCATATCTCTTCTCAGGACTGGGATCACAGAATGCAGCCTGGAGAAAAACTACACCAGACATTCTATTTAAGCAAATTCTTAAAAAGAAAAAGGACTAAAATAAGAATTAAAAAGTCTCAAAAGCTTTGTTTCATTGTGGTTGAGCTATGTCATATCTAAAATCCCAAATGGCCTGCAGGACAAAGTTTTCTCTCATGTTTAATACACTCTAGTTTATATATTTAAAGATAGATTCACTTGTGAACTCATCCCAGAAGTCTACTGTTTTCCCAGACAGATAATGATCAGTTTTGCATTATCCTTTGGACTAGACTCCCTCTTTGCCCCTGGTGGGGAGAAGATGTCAGAAAGGTAATTTTGTAAACCAACCCCAACCTTTTCTCCTCCCTCCTTACATGACAAATATTTTTCTAAAAGAATTACAGCTTTGCCTCAGCTGAAAGAACAGCTGAGCTACACATCTAATACGGGACTTCGTCCTAAATGAATATTTGCAGCCCAGGCTTAAATTCAGCTGGAGCTGTGTGGAGTGGAGCGCCAGACAGTATTTTCAAACCCACGGGGCAGAGGCCTGGGGCTCCATGAAATACTCTGTGAGAACTTAAGCCCTGCTTGTACCAAACATTTTTCTAAGATCCTATAATCTTGTGGGGGGGTTTTCAAGCTTTCAAGAAGGTTGTGGTATTGCTTCCTTCCCAGTTACACACAGCAGTCATAAAGTTAAACAAAATGAAAACTTAATTATAATAATATACAAACCAAAAAGGATATAGATTTCTGTTTATGACAGAGTATTCATATGTCCCATATAGACTTTCCCTCTCCTCCACTAGACAACCAAATTTCTATCTTTACTAGCAACCCTAATCTAATAGGCATTGATCTCACTTAATTTTGCCCATGTCTTTTCCATTTCTTACTGTCCTTTTACAGTTTAAATAGTTGGACTTCTGTCTCACTCTACTTTTCTGAGCTTTACAAACCAGAGTGGTGTGAAATCTTCATGAGAAAACTTAAACCCAGGAAAAACTCACTTGGCTTTATTTCAAACTTGAAACTCAGACTAGGTTAATCAAAATAGTAACTAAGTTGCATGTACCTCCATGGTGAAATCTGGGCCCAGTTTTGAGCCAGCACAGGACTATTTACAAATTTGCATTGAAATAATGCCAGGCTGATGTTGTAATTGCCCCCAGTGTCGACAGGAATGTTCCGATCATGTTAAGAAAAAGGCCAATAATGCGAAAATATTCGTCTGGAAGAAATGAAACAGTAACAAGAGAAAAGCAAGGAGGCTGTTTGTCTTAGATGCTTTGCTTATGCTCTACAGTACAATTTCCAGCACAAGCATTGTGTGGTCCAGTAATTGTTGGTACACATACCACCCCAAGTCAGCTGAGTCCCTAGACTGGTCAACAAACACATGTTTTATACCTGAGGTTCAGCCACATTGCTTTTTAAATTAAGCTTCTCCAGATAATATTGTAGTTTATGGCTTCATGAAATAAATTACGCAGCTCCCATAAACATAAAGCATAAAACAAAAATCCATCAGGTAGAATACCAACCAACCCGTCTGAGTTTGGGCACATTTATTAAATGGTCAAGCGTTTGATAACAGAGGAGTGGAATGGAATTATTTTTTTGCACATCTTTTGAACAGATTAAATTTACAACAGACTCCCATGTGTGCGATGGGATTATACAACATTATAGTGAGAGGATGCAATAACTATGTTACAAGGATCTAGGACCTCATCCTGCAAAGACCTGTGCACCATGCAAGATCAATAGTTTCATTGAAGTCAACAGGTAGGTAATCCTTTCTCCAGTGAACATTCCCATTAACTTGCATAGGGGTACTTGCATGAATAAAGACTACACAGGTTTATTCAGGAAAGAACCCTGTATTTTTGTATTATTTCAGAGATTAGAGGCTATGCATCAACAGCCCATGCTGGTTTTGGGATTGGATACTGCACCAGAAATCAAACCCAGGTCTCCTGCCCATCACTGCAGAGTTTTGCAAATAGGTGGCTGAAATGACTGTGATTGAGAAAGTGAAAGAGACAGCAGCCAGATCATCAGCTGATGTAAATCAGTGTTGTCTGTTGTCACCAGCAGAGCGTTGCTGATTGAGGACCTGGTCCACAAAATGTGCAGTTTGTTTGCATCTACTTATAAAACTTGTAAAATAAAGTGATTAGTGTGGTATTTGCTTTAAGAGCATTCACATATTTGTACTAAGGACCAGAGATACTTTATACAATAATATGATGTACATGTCTTAAGCGTGTATACATCCTCTGATTGTATACTAATTTTATAGCATTTACATTTGATACATGTGTTCAGATTTCTGATTCATTTTATAATCTGTTTCTTCCCAGTCCATTTATATTGTTCCAGACTGAGAACACTAAAGAAGGTGAAGAATATCATTATACTTCTTTGCAGTCTGGCAGTAGCCTGGGCTACTCCATTAAGTCTCTTAAAAATCTTCCTTAGTGGGGACTACATAATCAATCCCTTACCCATACTGGCGAGCAATTACTCCCATGAATAGTCCCACTGAAGCCACAGGGAACCGTCTGAGTAAGTAACTGGTTGCTGTTGTAGGTAAGGGTTCCATATCTGGCCCCAAAAGTTGGAAAATCAAACAAACTTCCTCTTTACCTCTTATTGATCACTTTTATTTTTATTCCCTTTGATTCACATAAGAACCTTTGTCTTCTTTTTAAAAGATACATCGAGGTGAAAAGGAGAATGACAGCATTGCTGGAGAACACCAAGCGAGCTATGCGATTCCCCCCGCCTTCCCCGTAAGCTTCAATTCTCCTACCTACCTCCTTCCCCACTTTGAAAATGCCACCCAGTCTTTATGTCCTCCCACCATTTTTATAAAGTGATCTACCGGATGAAAGCCAAAGAAAGAAATAAAGCCCCTGTACAGTTTTAGAAAGGTCACTGCAGCCAAATATGGCACAGGGCTCCGTCCTGCAATCACAGCCAGATTCTGCTTGGCTGTTACGTGAGTGCTCAGTTCTTGGGGAGTGTACAAAAGCCACCCCCGCCACTACTGCAGGCTGTGCGTGGGCCAGACATACTTGCAGTCCTTGTGCTCTCACACAAATAAGTAGATTGTGAGGATAGTAGCTAGGACATGAGCTGAGACTTTGGGTTTGTGTTTGGTCTCTCATCCATGCTTCTCTGAATTTCCATGGGTTTGATGACTGCGTCTGAGGTTTTGATTCACCTCATCTCTAAAGATAACTTTAAAAAGTGGCATTGTAGGTGAGCAATGTGGACCAAGGAAACTATACAAGTTCCCCACATTGTTTCCTGCTTCACTCTGTAGAAAAAGACTACACAGAGGATGGTCTGGCCCTTAATCCCGGAAGTGTGATTTGCTACTGCTTGTTTTACAGATGAAATTTGGAGGACTGACTATACCAGTCATGGGCAACGTTCCCTCTAATTTTTGACAGGCCGTGTGCCCAAAAATGTCTTCTGTGCAAATTTTTGACAGGCCGTGTGCCAATTATTGTGCTTCTGTGCAAATTGTTGTGCGTGCGGTTTCGCCGTGTGCACAGGGTTTAGGATCTGTGTGTGTGCGCGCACACGCACAGCTTAGAGGGAACAGTGGTCATGGGTATTTTCGGTAGTTAATTGTTCGTCTCTCATCTGACAGGTGGCTTAACTCCACACCTAGGGCGGAGATGCTGTTGACATACATGGGTATTTGCATTCTCCAGAAAAGCTAGAAGTGACACAACAGGTGTGTTTTTGGAAAAAAATTGATGCTGTATTTGTCTAATTTCAGGCGTGAACTTCTTTTCATGGAGGGAGGAGTGCAAGGACACTGGCAATGAAAAACTGATGTGTGAGACTGGCAAGAGGGCTGAATTATGGTGGGAGGGCAGGAGAGAGGAATTTAGTGTGTTTAACTTTTAAAAAAGCAAACACCTAAATAGGCATGGGTGAGCCTAACAACAAACTCATCACTTTGCTTCAGTCTTGTAAGACTTTCCCCCACCATTCATATTTAGACTATATGCAGGAACTGTATCTTTCTCTTTGTTTCAAAAGCATCCAGCACATTTTGGGTATGCCCATAGTCTACATAAATAAATAACAACGAATTAATATCTGATTTCTGGGCTTTGGATTACGTTTTGTAATATGGTGCCAGAGTTGGGAGCAATGGCTGAGGAGGGGTTTGCATAGATGGCTTTAAGTCATCTCTGCATTTCTCCAGATCTTGGGTCTACACTGTAACATAACAGGTGTTTTAGTCGCTATGACCAAGAGATTAAAAAATGGTATTTACCATCAGACTTCCTAAGCATAGTCTGGGATTTTCAAAGGATCTTAAGGGAATCAGGTGCACAGCTCCTATTGAATTTCCCATTGAAAATCTCAGCCAGATCTGGGTCTTTGGCTTGGGTTGATCTCTAATTGCAATGTGTAGGCAAATGAGTAAATATATGCAACATTTCTGCTGCTGCCCACAGGACTGTTTGTGATCCACAAATGGATGTGGAAAGTTTGAGGGCGCCATTTGAATATATAGGTTTGAAAATATGATGCTTAAAAAGGAAATGGAAAAGCTGACCTGGAGGAAATTCACTCTATGAAGAGGCAGCGGCAGCTTGCTAGACTTGGACTTGTTGATAGAGCTTAGGGGATAGGCCTATTTTTCATTTTCTTGTTCACCATATTTAAGCCTTTACCTTGAAGAATGCATTTCTTTGACAGGTGTTTACAAATAATTATTTCCTGGGATCGATCTATCCTTTCTTTCATTTCCAATCATATAGGAGCCCGATAATGAAAGCACCAATGACAGCAACAGGAATGAAGTTACTGTGGATGGAGGCAACACTGGTGATGGAATGGTAAAGTGAAGGTGGTGACACTGGAAGTGGAAATGGCAGCGCTAAAGGTGGAATTAATCATGTGACTGGCAATCCAAATGCAAACAGCCAGCAGAGTGAACCCAGAGGTACCGATGAGAAGTCTGGCAACATCAGCAGTGAAGACCGTGATGAAATGCATGATTCTAATGAACTCATACAAGGGGATGGCCCCACTGACAGCAATGAATCTGATGGCTCTGTCAGTCCTGAGAAAGGATGATGATTCAAACCCTGACAGTGAGATCAAGTGCAGCGGCCAGCAAGAGGATACCAGTGAGTCCAAGGAATCAGGCGGCGAGGACCATGAAAGCACATCATTCAGCGATACCGAGGATTCAGACAGGGACAATGACCGCAGTGAGAGTGACAGCGAGAGCAGCAGTGACGATGACCCCAAATCAGACAGTAGTGACAGCGAGAGCGATACCTGTAGTGACAACAAATCAGAAGGCAGCAACTGTGATCGCACTAGTGACAGTGATGGCAAATCAGACAGCACTGATAGCACTAGTGACAGTGAATCAGGTGGCAGTGAAGGTGACAGCAAGTCCGATAGGAGTGAGCTTGCACCTAATAGTAATGACAGTAGTGGTGACAACAGTGGCAATTCACCCCATACAGAACTCCCAACGGACCGCCAATCTGAGGAAAATGACAGTGATGGTAGCGCAAAGTTAGAAGACAAAGACGGTAAGAGCGAAAGCCAATCACAAAGTCTGCTGCAGTTTCCACGGTAAACATCTGATGAAGTGAGCTGTAGCTCACGAAAGCTCATGCTCAAATAAATTGGTTAGTCTCTAAGGTGCCACAAGTACTCCTTTTCTTTTTTTAAAGTGAAGGCAGTAATAGCAAGGACTCAGCGTGTGATGATTAGAACTGGGGAAATGAAAATCCGTAGTGACATTGACACTAATTTAGAGCAAATGGAATTTGTGTAGGTGGGAAGGGAAAAAGGACTTAAACAAAAACACCAATAGTACCTAGACATTATCTGAACTGTAATCAAAGATACTAAGCAACCTTAGAGCAAGGCTAGAGGAAAAATGTATTCCCTCAGTGCCGTCCAATTCCAGTCAATAAATGAAAATAAATACTGAATGCATATGTTAAAGTAACGTTTTCAGTTGCTATAATTTTATTAAATTGTACATCACGTTCAAATGAAAACTAGTGAGTGTTTGAAACTGTGGGATGATTTAGCATCAGAATGTATCAGTAAGTTATAATACTTGAAGATTTATAAGTTGTCCCTCAATGTAGGACAAACCACAAATTGTGGGTAACATTATTATTAAACATGTGTATTGCTAATATATAGATCTCACACACACACACGCACACACACCCTCTTTCCATGTGATATTCCTGTATGCTGCTGGTAAACCCACATTCTCCATTTAATGACAGTTGTATGTAACTTTCCCTCTCTTTTAATCCAATCATTTCAAAATCGTATTTTTAGAAGATGAAATAGGTAATCTGTAAAATAAAGATTTTTTTAAAATGTAGTCTATTTGCCTTCTTATTGGGAAGGAGTCTTGGTTTTACTGGCAGTGTTAAAAGAATGGCATAGAAAGTTTGTAGTAAAATCAAAAATTCTTCTTGTTAATATGAATGATTTTACAACACCTGAAAGTGCACTAGGCACCTCAGAATGCAGTTAAGGACACATATGCCCAGCTTAAAACGTAAAGATCTATGTATTTACAGAGCCCAGATACAGAGCCGGTGCAAGGATGTTTCGCGCCCTAGTCGAAACTTCCACCTTGCGCCCCCCCCCCCCGCCCTGAGGTGACCCCCTGCAGCAGCTCCCCACCGCCCCCTCTCTCCCTCCCTCCCCTCGGCCTGGGGAGCCGTGCGGCAGCTCCCCGCTCCCCCTCCCTCGGCCCGGGGAGCCGCGTGTGGCAACTCCCCGCCCCAACTCACCTCTGCTCCGCCTCCTCCCCGAGCGCACCGCCGCTTCTCCTGCCTCCCAGGCTTACGGCGCCAATCAGCTGTTCGGCGCGCAAGCCTGGGAGGGAGAGAAGCAGAGCGGGGCGGCATGTTTAGGGGAGGAGGCGGAGCAGAGGTGAGCTGGGGCGGGGAGCGGTTCTCCTGTGCACCGCCTCCCCCCATTACTTGCTGCAGGCGGCCCTCCCCACACCCTCCTGCCCCAGCTCACCACCACTCCACTGCCTCCCCAGAGTGCACTTTTGGCCACCTCCAACCACTTGGCGCCCTAGGTGACCACCTAGTTCACCTAGTGGTTGCCTTTGCCCCATTCTGCTGGGCACTGTACAAACACAGAAGAGACTATCCCTGCCCTTAACATAAGTAGTCCCCTTAAGTTCAATGCTATTACTGTCCCACACTAATTCAGAGAATACAGTGGACAGGATTTTGGCTGCCTTCCCCAAAAGCACCTGCTGCACCCTCATGCAACACTAGAGGGGTTTGGAATATCCAGACCAAATTTATTTGAAAGATCATCTCATCCTTTGACGAGCCCTGCATTTAGGGTTTGTTCCTGCTCCTATTAAAATGTAGTTATTGACTTAAATGGGACCAGAAGAGGATCTTTAATATATGATTTACTCTGCAGCCCATTCACATGAAAGTTACAGGCCATTCTGTGAGGTGCTAACCACACTCAACTCTTGTTGATCTCAGTGGAAGTTGATGGTGCTGAATGAGTCACAAGGCCAAACTGTAGGCAATGGCTGATGTGAGCCCATAATACCTATTGCTAATCATGGTATAAAGATATCCAGGGCTTGTCGGAATAAAAAGGAAGGCTGCAAGGAGTATTATCAGGATGTGCAATGCTCATGTTTATCACTTACCCAGACAGTGACATTTTGACAGAAGACAACGTCAGGTGTTTGGAGCTTGAGTTAAATGCAGGTTCAACCTAAAAAACCAACACTATAATTGTTTAAGGCACAATTCCTTTGTGATGTGAAGCCTAGGAGTGTAATTTTGTTTGAAGTTCAGAGGAAAGCACATCCCAGGTTATTGAGCGTGACAGACAACGAAACCACAAACAAACAAACAAAAATCAACGAGAAAGGAAGAAAGCCATTTATGGAAGAAGGGAGTAAAAACACAAAAGATTTGACCCAGTGCCTATGGAAGTCAACACCAGTCTTTCCATTGACTTCACTGGGCTTTGGATCAGACCCAGATGGAGCTAACAGAATGGAAAGCCGAATGTACAATCAAAAAAGGAGAGAAATAAAGGGAAAGAGGAAAGAGAATTACAACTGCAATAGAAATGAAGGGAAGAGGATAGTTATAAAAGGAATGTACAAAGAGAATTAAACTAAAGGCACACTGTAAAAAAAGGGATGAGAATCAAAGAAAGCACAAGGAAATAGAAGAGACCATGAAGCTAAATGGCTGCTGTGGGCAGATTCAATGGAGAGAATTATAAAAACTGAAAATGATGGGGGCGAAAATTAACACTTGAGAAAAGGGAGCCAGAGAAACTGGTCTAGGCGACAGGCTACTGGAGACCTAGGGTTTATTCCTAGTACTGCCACTGACCAGCTGTATGAGCTTGGGACTCTGTTTCTCCTAGTCTTTGTCTGTCTTGTTTTATTAGATTGCAAGGTTTTGGGGACAGGTACTGTTTTTTGCTATGTGTTTGTACAGTGCCTAACATACCTGAGTCCCAATCTTGAGTGAGGGCTTTAGGTGCTACTGGAGTATAAACATCATGATTGTAAATTTACCCCAGTGTTGAGACGTATCTAATTCATTATGCACCATTTCACACACACACACACACACACACACACACACACACACACACACACACACACATATATATATTTTTTTGCTTAATTCAAAGACCCAGTACCCATACTGAGAAGAAAGCAGGGTATCTCTGCAGTGGGAGCCCACAAGGGAAGGCGTCTTGATCCAGACTATAGGGGAAAACAAGATTTGTTTTACAACATTATTTTAAAATTCACAAATATATCTATGTTTGTGTCAACAATTAAAGACTATGAACAGAGAATAATAAATGACTAATCACATAATTAACAGTTATTCAGTACCTATGTTCAAAACATCTGACATTCATTAATTTATTAATCCTCATGAAAACTTCATGATGTAGGTAAATATACTCCTTTTAGCGATGGGGAAATTGAAGCAGACACAATTTAGGATAAAATTTTCAAAAGCGCCTAAGTCTCATTTTTTAAAGTAACTGTGGCCCAGATGCTCAAAGGTATTTAGGCTCCTAGCTGCCATTGAAATCTGGGTCTTTGTGGCTTCAGGCCTTATGCATTTAGGAGCCCAAGCCTCACTGAAAGCCCCATTTAAAAATGTTACCCTTAATGACTCATCCACTTGACAAAGGATGATGGTACCAGAGGTGGGATTAAAATCCAGAAATAAGGAATTTCTGACGTCCAGTCCTAGGCCAGCTAAGAGTAAAACACTGGAAGAAATCCCCTCCCTCCAAAGCTGTTGTATGACAGCTTACTCAGAGGGACTCCTGCACCCAAAGCAGGGTTTCCATAGCACTGAGGGGAAGCTGCACAAAAGTCAATGCAATTTACAACTACATTACATTTTTGGCAAATTACTGATAGTGTGGGTTTCCCCATATTTCTGCTTCGAAAACTGTGTCTTTTACTGCATTAGGAATACACTTTTTTTTAAAAAAACGGCATGAACTCTGCAGTCTCCTTGTTTCAGTAGTGTTGTCGTTGTACTATAATTTTGTGGAAACTAAGGGCTCAATTCTCTGTTCCTCCCAAAAACGGATTATTGCACAAATGGAAGGGCAGTTCAAAGAGGATTGTAAATGCCCCCTTCCAAGCTTTTTTCCCTAGCAAGAACAATTCCACCCCATAGTAATATTTTATAAAGAGTAGTTTCCATTCAAGACTGGAAAACTCTTTGCAGATGACTGAACTGTGGAGTTCTGTGTGCCCACACACAACAGAAAAGCAAGGAAAATAAATCTCAAAATTTACTTTGGTTCTGACCCTGTTCCCACTGATTTCCACAGGAGCAGGATATTGTGCTAATTGCAGTTTGTTTTTATTTGCCACACTCTTTGTGGTCTTACCTCACGATACGCAGCTTCTGAGAGACATGCAGCTAAATGACTGGAAAAATTATTTCAAGTGCTTTCCCTCAGTGATGTGCGGCCAATGTCTTAACATAGGACTCCCACCATTTCTTTCCGCATGGCCTGTACTAAACACGACATCTCCTGGGGAAATGCGTTACAGAGAGAGAGACTGAGGGATGGGAGAAATCTACTCATTCCTTTACCCAGTTAAACAAAAATGTCTTCTCATAACTTAGGAGGGAAGTGACACCACTTGGCAAAGAAAACTCGTAAAGTGCCCTTCGCTGGAATTGTTTATACTTTTTACTGAAAAAGAAACCAAGCCAAATTCCATTCTCAGTTACATCAGTGTAACTCCAGAGTAAAGCTGCTGAAGTCAGCAGAGATACTTTGGACTATTGATGTTAAACCTGAGAGTTGAATTTAGTCTACTGAGTATAGTGAGAGCATAACACAGCGTTGTGTAGTCTGAAGTTGGGGAGAAAGGTAAGAACTCTTTAGGGAAGTCTGGAGTTACCCTTCATTAGGACATCACTTAAGAAAACCCTTGCAATTTAGTGGAAGCTGGTCCATTTCAAAGGCAAAATATTTGCACTTCAGGCATATTTTTATGAGCTGAAGAACTAAGTCACCTCCAGCAGGGATGACTTAGGAATGTCCAAATGAGGACATGGAAACTATTCCAACCTTCCCTTCAGTTTGGTGGCAGCATTTGAAGAGACTCCCTCGCAACACATCACTACTTTTCCTGTTAGACCTTAAATCCACTTCCTTGGAATAAACCGGGGTAAAGAACCAAAGGGAATGTGTGTTTGGTATTTACTAACATTGCCTAAAATTTTCTCTCTCTATTTATATATATTATTTACATATATATGAGAAACTAATAAAATAACAGTACTAATTATGTGTAACACATACATAGTGCTTTTCAAAGTATTTAATCCTCATGACAACACAGCAATGCAGATAGGTATTATTATCCTCATTTTAATGATGGGGAAATTGAAACAGAGAGGGTTAGGTGACTTGACAAAAGTCATATATGAAGTCTATGTCCAACCCAGGATTAGAACTCAGGAATTCCTGGCTCCCAGCCCAAATTCAGACCTCTAGGATGATAAAAGAAGGCAAGAAAAACCTCACCACCCAAACTGCTGTATGGCTTCCTCTAGCACATGCATCTATTTGGCTCAAGTCCTATTTAGCTTTTCCTTTCCATAAACAGAGCTAGGGCCTGATCAACAGAGGCTGATGGGAGAATGCCCACTGAGTCTGAGAAAAGTGGGACCAGGCTCTCCATTTCCAGATTTACTGTGTGAAGATAGCACCTGTGGAACAAGGAGATTTCATCCTGATCCTTTTCAGCGTGTTCTCACAAGGTGGTAAAAACATACAATTCCTGGAGCATAAGTGTACAAACTGTCTGCTTGTATGACCTGAAAATATACATTAACAGGAAACAACCCCTGCCTGAGTATGACCGGGATCTGGCCATGTGTGTGGGTGACACTCTAATTGTTTGTGCTTGTAACCCTGTATGTATGTGAATGGCATAAATTTAGAAATGAAAATAAAGCCTTAGCAAGATCTTTCATTATATGAAAACTAGGCTAGTCATTTTGAAACCGCAAAAAGCTTTTTTTAGGGAAAATCTCTCTCTGGAGGCTGAAGGAAGTGTGGGGGTGCTGGATTCCCAGTGACACCTTATGACATCATTCACCCTGTGAGAGTGCAGATTGGCCATCATATCTGCAGCAGAGTTTAAATTCATGCACTAGTGGAGGAGGCTCCAGCTACCAAAGCAACAGGGCGATACAGGTATTTAACTGGTCCTATGCCTTTGTGACATCTGACTTGCCAAAGCTAAGAAGTCCTGAAGAAAGCCTGTGTGACGTGCATACAGAAGTAACTATTTTAATTTCTTTGGTTTATTCTGAAAAATGAAACAGCATGTACATGTTAACAGTTCTTGAGCTGTGATTTATAGAAAAGCACAACAGAACATCTCTGGGAAAGAGAGAGAGGAGGGGTAGGGGGCAGATTGTTTGTTTTCTAAGGAAAAAGCAAAAGCTCATCTCTCATTTTGAGATCTGTGTGCGCTTATTTAAGCAAGTAAAATAATGTAGTGTTTCCTTCCTAGAGCACATTTATCTTTTGTTTCTGTGTCACATGTTTATCTGATTTACCCAGTGTATAAATCTGTGAGTAAAGATGTTTATATGTGAGGCCTTATAATTCTGATTTTCTTTGCCTGGGGTGGGAGTGGGGGAAATGCAGCAAATTTGTGACAGACGGCTATGGTGTTAGAGTATCCTGTGCAATAGACTCAGTCTCAGATATATCTTTTTGCACAAAGACACCGTGGAACAGATTCTGCCACCTTTACCCTTGTTGCAGCGTGCCTTGCTCCACAATTATTGTGTAGTTAGATGCTACTTCGTGTGAGTCGGGGTGGCAGAATCAGGCCCCCTGTTAGTCTGAAAGAGCGAAAATGTGTTGACTTACCCATTGCAATGTTTATGGTTGATGTTACACAAAAGGGTTTAATTCTCAAAGAAAAAGATTACTTAAACCCACTCCTAAAATCTGTTCTTTGTGAAGCATTAGACTGATTCAGTGAGACTGAATTTGCCCCCCAGTACACAGTTAGCCTATTCCAGAATTTTGTTTGGGATGGACAGATTGTGTGCAAGGCTCCATGTGATTTTTCTCCACTACTAATTTAGGATGAAAATGTAAATATTAAAACAAAGTACCAATAGCAATAGACAACATTCGGTACTGCGACCGTGATCTGTGGTACTAAACTTTTTAACAGGTTGATAAGCAGCCCTGGGTGACACAGTCATTAAGGAACTAGATTTCAGAGTAGCAGCCGTGTTAGTCTGTATTCGCAAAAAGAAAAGGAGTACTTGTGGCACCTTAGAGACTAACCAATTTATTTGAGCATAAGCTTTCGATGAATCCGATGAAGTGAGCTGTAGCTCACGAAAGCTCATGCTCAAATAAATTGGTTAGTCTCTAAGGTGCCACAAGTCCTCCTTTTCTTATTAAGGAACTAGCGAATCATAAACTGTTTTGCACCCTGTCATTACAGTTTAATCAAGAAAAATCTGCATTTCTCCAGGTATCCCCTATTCCAAACCAAAACATGAAATTTAACTTAATCTTCATGGCCCAGCTTCAAAAGCCACTAGAGATTTTGGGTGCTAGACAAGAGCATGTGCTCAGCACTCTTTCCAAATCAGGATCTTTTAAGGTGTCTCAGGTTGGGCACCAAAACCCGAGGCATCCAAAATCACTAGGTGCTTTTGAAAATCTTATATGCCGTTATAATCAATCATGCTGAATTTCAATTAAGAGCATGTGAAAATACTCTTTTGTAACACCCCTACTTCATTGCAGCTACAGACACTATAATCAATATGAAGACAGTACTCCTGGTAATCTCTCTCTGGGCTTTATCCTGTGCTCATCCTGTAAGTACTTATTATAAAATCATTAAAATCCCTAGTTTCAGCATTTTAAGCATGCCCAAGACCTTCTGTACCACTTCTGTTCATTCATAAGTTGTCTTTTCAATGTGTTTAGGTGCCCAGCCATCAAAATGCCCATTCTGAGAGCTCTGAAGAATGGGGGGTAAGTTGACCATCAAGAGTTTTTCAGAAGACTCTATTTCAGCAAATAGCTTATGAAACAGTATTGTAAAGTGGAACTGGTCTCTGGTTAATAGCGCTCGAAACACTACTAGATTAAAATAGCTGCTACACCTCTAGGCTTTGAGTTATATCCATTTTTCAAGGTCATTTTAATTCATAATGGTTTCAGCCATTTCTACATACACCCTCTCCCCCTCCACCCCCATATGTGGAGATGATAACTAGGTGATAAATTGCATTACATGCTTTCGGCCACCTCAACTACGTGCTGCCCACTAATCTATCCCCACAAGACTTACTGTAACAATCCAAAGATCTGAACAGCTTCAGAGAGCTGCCATTTAAAATAGGAATGCTGCCAGAGCAATGTTTCCCCCTTCACCACCAAATATGGAATTTCTTCCTGACCTTCCCACAATGCGAGGCACGAGACAGGCATGGTTCAGCCATGGACCAATAGCTACTCTTTAAATGTAATAGTATCACAGCTTTCAAGTTTGGTATCTCCCATAATGCTAGAAATGGGAACTTTATACCACTGGAAAGAAGAAAGTCCCATCTTCCCAGTGGGGGACAAATAATTTGTTCCTGACTCTGAAAGCTTATACTTTGTTGGTTCTAAAAAATGAAACTGGTGGACTCCAAACCACTTGTGGTTTTGGTTTTCCTGAGCCCAAAAGCCTCCCAGGGTTTCGCAAATCTCTATCAATGAAATTTAAGTGACAACACCAAATAATTTCTGGATATAATTTTGAATGATCCCTTTACAAAAAACCCAGTTAGTTCATTTGAAACGCCAGCTGCATCCATGGCAACTATAATAAAAACACTCCTTTTATTTTACTCAAACTGAAATTACTTGAGTATAAAAAGATTCAGAGCACTTCAAAATGCATGAGCTGTTACTAAGACAGAGCCATCATATATATATATACCCATCTCTTTTACTCATTAAAAACCGCAAGATGAAGCATAAACAAATGTTTGGGGTTTCTTGCATAAGGCAAGCTGTGGTTCTCATTAGAAACAAATAAAACCCGTGCAGAGGAACTGGTAATTAAGAGTCTTCACACTGCTTGCCTGACCCAAAGCCAAACGGTAATAAGCAGTTTACTTTACACCAATGGACACAATGTGGCCCTTACCATGGCATCAGTAAAACCGCAATAACATTTGCTTAATCAAAGTACCTTAATTTCGCCTTTTTGTACAGGACACAGCAAGCGAAGAAAGTCTGAATGAGGAAGCAGATTGGGCTGGCGATGCTTACAGCAGTCCTAAAAGCAGTGCAGAAACTGGAGGAGAGGACTCCAATGCTGATGAGCATGATGGCACTGATGAAGAAAACCACGACCCATCCGTGGTTTCTAGCAGGAGCTCTGAAAGTCATCCAGATGATGTCGATGCAAGGAGCACTCAAGACTATGAAGAGGATGACAGTTTCCGAATTCAGCAGGCTCATCGTAAAAATTGGGCTGATCATGAGGATTATGGTGACCTTGATGATGTGGAAGAAGTAGATGAAAACAGTCATGGTGATCAATCAACTGAGAAAAACTCTCTGGTAAGTGTACATAGCTCTCCTGTATAAGGCTCAGTTTCCTAGCAGATAACATTCTTCTTCTGCCTGTTGTCTGAGTAGAAAAAGTGGTTAGCAGTCTTAATTCAATCTGCCGTAAACATAGGGCTACAACATAACACATCCCAGATAATTTGCTGTAAATTAGCACTGTAATCAGATCAGGCTCTGTTTTCAAGAGACAGAGGATTGTGCTAACTGAGCTGAGTTTTGGAGAACAAATTTGGATTTGGGTAAGTGCATGGGAAATAGAGTATCACTCCTCTGGCTTTGTAATGGGAGCAGTGTGTCAATTAAAGACAAACAAATTGGATGTATTTGAAATTCACATATATGCAAAATTGTTATAGGACAAAATTTGACTACATGGAAAAACATAACCAAAAATATACAATTGTGTAAAATTATATCTGAAATGAAGCCCTATCCCCCGTTTTTTTTCACCACTAGATTATAGTCCTTCACATGAAAAACGTTGTTCAGATACCTAACAGACCTGTGGACATATGGGAAGCATTATTTTCTTATATCTTTATGGTCAAAAGCACAAAAACTCAATATTCATCCATGGGTCAGATTTTCAAAAGAGCTCAATATCAGCAGCTCCCATATTTTATTGCACAAATGGGCCTGAAATCAATTACTATAAATTTGAAAACAACACTGGTCAAGATTTTCCAAAGAGCACAGCACCATGGAGTCCATGTGGAAGTTCTGGCTTTTTTCAGAATGGTGCAATGGGCCAGATCACTGCTTTTAGTGTTGTGGACCATTACTGTAGAATATTTTAGGAGTTATATTAAGGCATATACAATTACATGTAGAAATGGAACAAACCAAATCCCTGTATCCAAACACCCAGAACTTCAAAAGATGGATCAGAATTTTGTGGCTTGAGCCATGTTATATCACATCATGCTCTATTTATAGTGAGTGTGATGAAGCCATGTCATCCCAAACCAAGTAATGCCATAAACTAAAATTCACCCCTCTCCTGCCATAAATCCAGTGAGGACACACATTTTAAACGAGTGGATTACTTGTTTACAGTATCTAAATTGAATCCTAGTAGAGCAGCAATTTCTAGGGGGACTTATTTTTAAGACTCCTAAAATGTTAACTGAAGTAACATTATTATTTTATTTGGTGGTTTGAAATCTAATTTGTTAGATATACATTTTAAGGCATACTGGGCCAAATTCTGCTCTCAGTTACACCCATGTAGCATTACGAATTTTGATGCAGTAGCACGAGTATAGATTATAGTAGTATTTGGCCTACACAATTTAGTAAACAAGTCGCATTTGTAAAATACAGGAAGGAAGTGTTTACAATGATTTCTCTTTGCCACATCTCTAGGAGGATGTAAATGAGATTCTTGCTATTGACCGCAGTGACCATGGAGATCACCACGCCAGGGACAGCAGAGAATCAGAAGACAATGGTGACATTGAAAATGATGGATTTCTTTATCTATCCAACGGCTTCGACTCTAGCAAGGGGGACGAGGAAAGAAATTATCTGACAGATGAGGAAGATGAGAGCGGAGATGATACCTTTGATGAAAATAACGAGGAAGAAATTAAGGGGGCAGACCCTCGATACCCTGTTCGTCCTGCTGGAACAGATGAGCACAGTGCAGTTGCTGATGGAGATCTAGATGGTGACCATAGAGCTACCGCTATGGGGAAAAAAGATAGCAGCAGCAGCAGCAGCAGCAGCAGCAGCAGCAGCGAGAGCAGCAGCAGCAGCGAGAGCAGCAGTGAGAGCAGCAGCAGCAGCGAGAGCAGCGAGAGCAGAGGCTTTGGTCATGAGGAGGATGCCAGTCGTGGCAGGCATGTCCCCAGCAAAGGAAATCGAGGCAACAGTGACAGTGCCTGCAGTAGCCAAGAGGAGAGGGATGATTCTGATGATGAAGGAATGCAAGGTGATGACCCATCCTTCTTTGAGAGCGAAGCTGGCAATTCCAACATGGTTCACGGTGCCATTAATTCCAAAGAGAGCAGCCAAGAAACCAGTAGGGAGCACCGCTACGGCAAGCGGAAAAGCACCAATAAATCACAGAAACCTTCCCAGAGCCATGTGTTCCGAAATGGTGATGATACTTCAGAAGAGGATGATAGCGCAGAGCACAATGACAGTAAATCCAAAGAGGACAGCAAGTCCACAGAAGACAACAGTTGTTCTGAAGAACACGTTGCCAGCCACTCCAGAGAGGATGTCACCAGCCAGTCAAAGGAAAATGTCACCAGCCACTCCAGGGAGGATGTCTCCAGTCAATCAAGTGAAGAGAGTAGTGAATCCCAGGAAGAAAATGAGGAAAACTCCACAGACGTGGATAGCAAATCAGATGAACACAGCGGTAGCAAATCTAAAGAAGGTCAGGAAGACAGAGACTCCCCTGAGGATGGCAGCAATACATCAGAAAGTGACAGTGAATCCACAGAAGACACGAGGGACCATAGCAAATCAGAGGAGAAGAGTAAATCCACAGAGGACAACTTGGAATCAGAAGAAGATAAGGATGGACCATCTCACAGTAAATCGGTTGAGAGCAGAAGTGCTTCAGAAGAGAGCAGTAGCAGTGAAGAGAGCAATGCCAGTGATTCGAATGAAGAGGACATCAGTTCTGAAGAGCAGCAAGGCCAAGACAGCAAGTCTGCAGAAACCAGTGAAAGTGAATCGAATGAAGAGGAAGATAGTGAATCCAGAGAGCACACTGCAAGTCAATCAAGCAGCCAGGAAGATGATAGTGTATCAAGGAGCATGGACATTGAAAGCAGAAAGTTAGTGCTTGATGTTTATCACAACAAACCCATTGGTGATTATGATGACAATGACTGCCAGGATGGGTATTAAAATATACATTAAAAATCCAAACTATATATGACTTGTGGGGGGGAGGGAAAAATCTTTTAATTTATTTACCCTATAGACAGTATTAAGGTCAGCAGTTCCTTCTGAGAAATATTCTGTGAACAATAAGGGCATGATGATTTTGTAGGATTTCACTATTTCAGCTGGTGTTTGCCCAATGTGAAATTAAATGAAAAATGATGCTTTAAATATGAAAAGGATAAATCTAAGTGAGAAGCTGATTTATGATCCTAGAACTGAATTAGTAAAAAAAAGGGAAAAGCTAAATATTAGTTAGGAGAAGTGTTTGCAAATAAAATAAATGTATTTTTCAGGGAAGATAGACCCACCACCGTGCTAGCTTTATGTTCTCCTATAATTCATTGCATTATGTCCATGAACATTGTTAGGAGCGATGGTTGAGCATTAAGGAGAGAATGGATGCTTAGATTTATTACACAAATATTTGCATCTACAACTTCTTTAAATTCATTTGTCTACAGTCCAAATGCACTTTAAATTAATTGCCACTACTGCACATAACAAGGAGAGCGGCTAGTAACTGCACGTACAGTGTATGAAGTATCACTTCAGTATGGGACGTACGTAATATTTTGTAATAAATGCACAGAAAACGTAGTTGTATCCTTTTGCATTGATGGCATCACTATTTCAGTGTTAACAATAATCCTATTTGACTCCCCTAATTAATATTAAAAACACCAGACTAAATAGTCACATGGTTTGAGTTTTCACTATTAGGTTATATTAAAATGAAACATTATTTGGAGTCTAACTGCTGTGAGCAGAAACAAAGAGTTTTCTGAACTGGTAACTTTAACATATGCAGCATGGCCAACTCAGATGGATGAACCACTTAAGGAAAAATAGTGCCTAATTCTGATCTCACACTGTTTTTATACCAGTGTAAGACAGTGGAGTCATTTTTGACTTGCTCTCACACCAATGAGATCAGATGCAAACCCTGTACTTGTGCTGATTTTGCAGCAGGAGGCCAGCATTTTGAAGCATCCCTCTTCAAAATGCCACTTTCAAAAAGAGATCCTAGGTGGAATATTATTGCAACATCAGCTAATCCTCTTTCTCTGATGCTCTATTACCATTCCCAGAAGTGCAGCCTCCACTAAATGCACTGGGAGTGAAGCTGTCTCTATGCTAGACCAAACCAAGGACAGTCCCGTGTTCAGAGGTGCACAAACATACACATACCATTGACCCTGACTGACCCCCCTCTGTTCAGAATGCAATCATTATCATTTAAAAGCTTAGCAATCACATAGGGCTGAAATCTCCTATTGCCAGTACTGGAAGGTAGAAAGACGCAGAGGAGCACAACTCTGAACATGACTGAGGATGTGGAGTTTTCTCGGCATGCACCTACATGGCCGTGCTAGTAACAAGATGAACCTGTGCACAGAAGGTGACAGCCCTTCTGGATCCTGCTCCAATCCTCTGGTGGTGGTTAGGAAGAGGACGACGACAGCGTTCGGAAGGCTGGGGCAGTGGAGGGAAGGTGGTATGGGGAAGCTGGGAGGAAGGGCGCAATCAGAAGCGTGGCCACACATTGGTGATGGAAGAAGAAAATGGAGAGAGATAAGGGAAAGGGAGGTTAATGAGCAAGACAAAGGAGAGTTGAGAATGCGCCTGGGTTGTAGTGATGGTGCAGGAGGTGGGAAGGGAGAACAAACAAGGGTGCTGAAGCTGGAGGGGAGTTGGAATGGGAGTCTATCTAGGTGCTGGTACTGGGGTTGCAGGGAGTAGCATGGGAGGAGGATTGTGGGCTGAGCTGGACTTGGAGCTGGTGATGGTGGAAGGGAGTAGGGCAAGGAGGCTGAGAAGTTTTTCCACCTCCAATATGTTGGGAACTTAACTCTAGAGCTGCTCCCCAGCTGCAGCATCCTAGCTGAGGGCAGGTTCGGGCAGTCCGTCCCTACTTGCTTTAAACCTATGTTGGCATAGCTGTACTCCCAACATCAAATTCTTCACGAAGGGCAAGGAATGCTCTTGTTCAATCCCAGCATCATGTTCAAGTGTTTGTGGGAGGGGGGGTCCCCTGCAAATACTTGTTGTGGTACCAAAGAACATGGAACGTTAAGCAGCCTTGATGACGCTGATCCACAGCAAGCAATTAAATACAAGGACCTGCAGGATGGACAAATTTCCTAAACGAAAGCACATCAACTGGGTTAATTTTTGTAATTAGACTTAAGACTCTGAGTTGATCACAGAGCAGATGATGTATCGTGCTTACATGATATTCATATCAGTAATTGCTCCAGTTCTGAGAAATCCTGAGTCAATCCTGCTTGAGATCTGGAAACAGGAATCTATGTAAAATACGAGTAGATGAAACTGCATGAATTTTACCTCTCGGTGAAACATTATCTAAGGTCAGAAGCTGTAAAATTACAGACCAGTAACGCAAATCAATTTGCAAATGCAGTTTGAATTATGAAAAGGCAATGTCAAATAAAATAGCTCTTATTTTGTTAACAATGACCTCACATTACCGGTGGAGTACTGACCCCTTGATATGGGGTCAGTATTTGCTGATTCAGCAGAGCATTTTCGCTATGTAATTTACTTTAAACTCATGCGAAGTCCCATTAAAATCAGTGGGACTATACATATACTTAAAACCAAGCATGTGCTGATGTGCTTTGCTGAATTGGGGTATGAAATCTGGGTTACGGGCCTACAAACAGAGTTTTATGGATGCCTCTCCCACTACTTTTGTCTCCTGATGTAAAATGATTAAGCAACAAGGGCCAAATTCTGGAAAAGACTGAAAATTCACAGAAACGTCACCGGAATGTATGGGGGAAAGTTTGGAAGTGTGAAATATTGGAGCTCCACTGAACAACAGATCCACTGGCCATGCCCCTCGTGTGCCAACATTTCTCTGTGCAGGACTGTGTGTAGAGCTCAGCGAGATCTGATTTGTGCTGTATAAAGATCAATGGTTTCCCCAGGTAGTCTTTTGTGAACAAGTCCCATGGAATTTAACCAAATGTTAAAAAATTTGCATAACCTTTTTAAACCACCATACCGTGTGAAATTCACGCTCCACTTCAGTCAATGGATGTTTTGCTATTGACTTCACGGGAGGCAGGATTTCACCCATAAAATGTAATAGAGAATTATATCCCTATTATAGAATTCTGTAGGATGGCTCAAAAATCGATTCTATGAATCTAGTGATTTGATAAATGCAAAATACATTTTAAGAGTAGTTTTGATACAACCCTAAGTTCTATAGCCTTTGAATCATTGAAAGCACATTCTTTGCTTCAGAATCCCCTGAGTATTTGGGCCTGTGTATGGAGAACACTAACCAATACAGACGAACACGGCTACCCCTCCGATACTAAGAGTGTTTTGTTTATCTCCACATTGTGTGTGGATGTTGGTCTTTCCTTCTCAGGTCTTCAATTTAATCCAGAGGAGGTTTGAAAAACTGAGATGTGGTTTTATTTGTTTGTTTGTTTAAAGAAAGAGATAGAAAGTGTAATCCTGGCTCTACTGAAGTCAGTGGAAGTCCCATGTCAAGGGGTAAGTGATGTAAAATAGTCGGGGGAATGATTAGGTATACACAAATCAAACATATGCCTGGTAAATGTTGGAATTCATGCAGTAGACTATGTACCTGGGGCCTGCTGAAGTTAATGGGAGTCTTTCCTTTGACTTTGGTTCAGGCCCTAACATGCTGGAAAGATTTCTAGGGGGAGCGCAGCGTTCTAACATTAAAGTGATACCTAGGCTTTATGAATTTCTTAGAACAACTTAATGTAAGAAGCCCCAAATGGCAACATAGCAACGAATAAGGACTTTCAACAAGAGATTAATCAGCTCAATGGCTAAGGCCTTTTACCTTATAAATTATTTTTTTCTACCAGCAAGTAAGACCGTGTGGGCTACATTCACAAATGGACTTAGGCACCTACCCGCTACTTTAGGTGTTTAAATCCCAGAATCAGGCCCCACGAGGATGAACAAAACCCCCACTCACCTGCCACCGAACCCCAAAAATTTGTCAATAAATGTTCCCTAGGAACCTGAGTTTCTGCCTCTGAGTAAATGAACTACAGCCCCACACCAGATGCCTAAGCCCCAGAATGATGCACGAACCAGGTGAAGATGCCATGTTCCTCTGCCTAACTTGCCTGCAGGCCGAGTCTAGTAAGTGTGCTCAAAGCTCACCTACCAGATTGGGCCCCTATAGGCGATCTTACACAAAACAGCCAGGAGAAGAGGAGGAAGGGAGGCAGTGGACCTCCCTCATAACTTTTAGTCCAGAGGTGAGGGTGCTCACCGGGGATAGGAGGGGCCCTCCCTCTCATTCAGATTCTCCTCTGCCTGAGGGGGAAAGGGATTTGAACTGGGATCTGGGTGAGCACCGTAATCCCTGGGTGCTGGGATATTCTGCAATGGTGTTCCCTCAGTCTCTCCTGTTAAAGCTGTTCCACTGTGGATATATCATTTTAAAAATACATTGGTGTAGGGGGACTGGCTGCTCGGTCTCCTACCTCCCAAGTGAGTGCTCTAAGCACCAGGCTATACACAGACATTCCCATGGCTGCTTTCTCTATGGGCCAATGATTTTTTTCCTTAGTGATTCACAGTGGAACAGTTTCCCCAGGAGAGACTGAGGGCCACCTCCCCTCAGAACATCCCATAGCCCAGCGGTTAGAGCACTCACCTGAGGGGGGCTAGTTCCCTGTTCAAACCCTTCTCCCCTCAGGCACTTGAACCCATCTGATGTGAGTAGCCTAACCACTAGTAAAAGTTACAAGGGAGGCGGTCCTCTTTCCCTGCCCCACAAAAGGGAAGGATTGCAGCTGAGACGGCCAAGCACAGGAAGGTGCCTCTATGGCCTTAGGTGCCGATCTCCAAGGGAGAGGTGGGCCTTAGCACACATCCCATTGGCTACCTTAGGATAGGAGCTGCTTAGTGTGCTGGCTTTTGTGTATCCCATTCTGAGGCACCAATCTCTTCCTGTTCATTGTGTAGGGAGCCTAGGCTCTGTGAGTCACAATGATTTTCCAGGCACCTAAAAGTTAGGCATCATGGGGATATTGAACGTCACCATGCCTAACTTTCTTCGTGACTCTAGCCTTAGCTGTTTTACCTAGCATACAGACTGTTTGTTTGTTCTTCTTTATATAACAGAATACATAACATTAGCAGTTTGTATTAGATGCACAGTAGACAGACCCTGACTTACTCATGTTTTGGCAAGTGGAATTATTAGTGGATAGATGTACTTACACAGATGCCTGCTGATGCAATTGCATTTAAATTCTTCTGGAGCCAGTGATATGTCTGCGGGTAGTTGGAATAGATCGACAAATTAAAGACCCAGAAAGGAAGTTAATTAAATTTTAACTATTTATAGCAAAAAAAAACGATACTTAATTTGTGAACTCAAATACTCTCTCGAGCACTGAAAAAGCTCTTAATTGACCTTCTGGTTTTAGAGGATCTGCCTTTTTATTTACGAACTAATCAAAAGAGACTCATAGATAAGTGGTGGAAAGTAATTAAGCATCTAGCTCACGATACAGGCTGCGTAACTGTATTAAAAGCCACAAAACGTT